AAACACACAAAACACCACGCACCAACGAGTGAGATAAGTAAAAAAGGTACAAAACACTTTTTGGGGGCAATAATAAATAAGATAAGCGCAAATATGCCACCGCGGGTCAAGCTAAACAACACATCGGCGCGCACAAAACGACTGCTGCACTTGTACACTCAGACTACTGCCATGACACACTCTAATAAAGAGTCGACACATAACGAAACGGAAGTAGAAGAGAGCATGAAAAACCTTGCAGTTGACAGTGTCGAGTTCAGTGGCAGGCCAATTGTATTGCGAATGTGTTGGGTTAGTGTCAGAGTGTCAACTTAGAGCACGTGGCAACACGTATATGTCACAACACAAAGTAGCTTTTAAGAAAGGAGTACATATATGTATATGTATGTACACTTCTACCCACACATGTATGCATTATATCTGCCCACTAAAATCCTAGCTAGATTTTATTATATTGCCTGAGCATTTATGACCATCGGCACTGATTCAATTCCCATTCGATGGACAACAGATTTATAGGCGAAAAAAATAAATAAATATTGCAGAGTTTTATTCTTTTTAATTACATAAATATATAACCATGTACACTAAGTACCTACCGGTCAATGAATATAAGCTTATATAAGCGTAGTAAATTCTAAATTTGCACTTTTATTTTGATGTTGAGAGCATTTGCAGCAGACCCTGAAGCTAGTTGCTATGCTATCAAAGTTGTCAGCAAACTACTATGGAAAAGTGTATGGAGTGAGATTTTATGTGAGTTGCAGAGAGTACTGCTACTTTTATTGTTCGATAGAAATTTAACTCGCACTAGAGCCAGGTAATATATGAAAAGCGATGATAAACTATGTTTTGTTTGGACGTCGCTAGTCAATAAGGAACATTAAGAAGAAAGATAAAGGGGGCGAGAGAGAAAGGAAAGAGAAGGAGATAGAGAGACAACAAGAAAACGAAAGACAAGACATCGCAGCTGATTGAAAAAACGGAAACCCTGGCTCACACCGTCTTTCTTATGAACAGCTATCTAACCAAAGCCGGCATCCCAACGCTTCCGCAGGCGCCCCACAGCCCAGATGTTTCTGTCCCGGACTTTTTTGTTTCTTTGCCTGAAAAGGCCGATGAAAGGCAAGCATTTTGAGTCGACAGAGAAGATCCAAATAGCATGCACATCGGCTCTCAAGACTATTCCAGAGAATGCCTTCCCTGATGCCTCAATGCTTGAAAATCACGCAGGCACTGTACATTCAAACTACCATGCTGACAATATCAGAAAAGGAGCTAAGAAGCTTTAGCTATTAACGACTTGCATCTAAATATATGCAACATAAGAGCATTAAGTAGTAGCACAAAATTATCTTCATATTAGCTTACATCTTTTTTAACTGCGCATAATATCCGTTTATACTTATTTTATGCTCATTTATTTCATTTATGTTAATATTATAGATATGGTACTAATACAGTAAGGGTAACAAGTAATCTATCACAGGTGTTTTATCTAAGCTAATTTCCCAGATTACACTCACAAATTTTCATTTCAAAAACTTTAAGTCTCTTTATTTGGTATTTAAAATATCTATGTACGAAAATGAATGGCAACATTGTACTTTATGCGCTTAAAGAATGTAGGCTCACCTGAAACATTTTTTGGTATAATATAGGGTGCCTTTATTATGAAGGAAATCATGTATTGTACAACCAGCCTTCCAAAGTAAACAAGACTTTAAAAAAACAGAACAAATGATTTTTTCGGCAGAATTAATTTATTTTATTCGAAATAATCTCCTTCTGCTTCAATACTGCTTTTTGCAGGATCCAAAGGCATGTCGAATGAGTGTTTTACCTTGGTGGCGTCTACATAACGCTTTCCTTTCATGAGCAAAAGCATTTTTTCGAAAAGGAAGAAATCGCACGGTGCCATATAAGGGGAATACGGGGAGTTCTTAATGGTTAAATGTGATTTTTGACAAATAATCGGTCCGGATAAGATGTCCTTCGAATGTTGGATTCGGAGTAATTTTTGGTCGTCAGTCAATTTGTGTGGAACAAACCGTGCACACATCTTTCCTAAGCCCAAATGTTCGGTCAAAATGCGATAAATCTATGTTTTGGAGATATTCAATTCTATTTATATAAATTTCAGTGCTTTCAGGGCTGATTTTTGATGAACACACCTACAGATTCGATGGAATTTTCGGTGATCACGGTTTTTCATTGGCTCACATGTTGATCGACATGTATGTTTTGGTAAAAGTTTTACAAATTTTAAAACAAAGTTTAATGTTAACTCTTTGTTCGAAGCTCATTTTGGCATCGATAGCACAAACATTCTGACACTTAAAATGCAATAACTTCACTTCCAATAAATGAAATATCATAAAAGTCATAAGTCAAAAGAAATACATATATGACACCACCAGGGGGCTTCCTGTTTACTTTGCCCTGTAGAGGCATCAGAGACTGTCCAGTCTTAATTGTATCCAAAAAAAAAAAAAAAAAAAAAAAAAAAAAAAAAAAAAAAAAAAAAAAAAAAAAAAAAAAAAAAAAAAAAAAAAATTGTGAACTGGACTGAGCGGCTGGACCTTATGAGAAACAACTGATCCTAGAAATATAGCAACATTTTGTTTCAAACAATAAAATTCGGTATTTTATTTTATGCTCGTTTGAACCTTTAAACTACACCCTTTATTTATAGCCTAGCGGATACTGGTGATTTGTATGAATATTTGTCTGTAATACTTACGTTTTGCCAACGGGGATTTTAATACTGTCTGAAGGACGTTACTATTTCAACAAAAGCGGCTTAAAAACGGACGGCTATAAACTCATGAGGGTTCTTTCGATAGCTTATATCTATCTATTGCTTTCTATCTATTATGCTTTCTATCGTTAAATATATATTTTTTCTATTTTTTGAAATGAAAGATTATTTACTTAGTCACACTTAAACGGCGCCAACTAAGTATACACATTCCCATATATTTACTGCAACTTACATAACTAATAGGTATATGATATAAATTTCTACCTTTAAGAGTTTAACGCAAACCTTATGCTTTATTACAATTTTTCTCAGAAATAAAAAGAACTGTGTGTGCATGCTTAAGCCTGCTCGTGACACTTTTGTTTACTATACTCTCGTATACTGTGTAAACACCTTTGATTGAAAGCCAAATTAAAAGCATCCACATAAGGTATGAGTAAACAAACGTATGGTTGAGTGTTCAACAAGTTCAACGTGGCATAAAGTGTGATTACACGTTAATTGAAAGCAGTAATCTGATATAATCAAAGGCTGGCACAAGGTCTTATGGCTTCATGTTTTAATGCGCAAGAAAATAAAGAAAACACAGGAGGAAGAGAAAGTGAGAATTACTTCGCATTATGCGGTTTTCTAAGAAGTGTTCCTTTAAGTAAGGAATGTTTTAGTAAAATATATTGAAACATTTTCATGTATAATATAATCTTCAGTAGGTTATAGTTACACTACACGTCACTACGTTGTTGCATTCCAAAGAATCATGTGCAATACAAAAATATTCGAAAAACGCTAATTATTCTTCATTAATATTTTATCAAACGCCTTCGAAATCACTCAACATTAATCTATTAAGCTTTTGTGTACGAAGTGTTAACTGAAATATGTTGCCACATACCAACTCTTAAACCCTGTTGTCATTTCCTTGTCTTCCTGTTCAGCGCATGCATTTCTCCAACAACTTCTGTCCACATGTGAGTTAATAATTTATGAGCAGACATTTTCTTATATCTGGAGTACGTAGCACGTACTATAGCAGTTGGTAGAATGATTCACAAGCTCAAAGGCATTCGTGTGACTTTGCTTTTGTGCGTAAAGTAAAACTTTTCCTGTTACGTTTGAAATAATTGCCGTTAACTGATTTATTTTATGACAACAAACCACTTTATTGTTTTCTCTTTTGGTTTTGTTGGTTTGCCCACCAAGGCTATTTGAGTGCTAATTTTCACAATATGTGAACGTATTTTATGGGGTCACAGTGAGTGTAAACTCAGAAAAGCAATTGTGCATATATACTCGAAGAGTCGCACGTGTCAGGAAGTCAAGAAGTTTTATTGCAATGAAATTGTTTGTTATTAGTAAATTTATAAGTAAAGACAATTGGTTTTAGTAGTTTGTCGGACGGGAAAACACTACCGGATGCCGTAGAAGTGAAGGCAACTTTATTAACTGTTCGGCATATGTATTTAACAGGGGATGTTTTAATCTCTTTAATATGATTTCTTCTTGAACATGAATATCTATATTTAAATGTTTGTATTTTCAAATAAAATTCCAAAAGAAAGCTTTTTCTATAAAACATCCCGAGTTTCAAAGGCGATGGAAGTACTTTAGAAAGTTCATCAAAAGTTTCATTACTCTATAGATACCAGCTTGTAAGGATAGGAGCTCCATAATAAATATATTATTACCTCGAATTTAAGCTAACGACGATAGTTAGACTTGGAGAAATTTGGGTGGGGTGAAGATATTGCACTCGAGGAAGTTATTTGTTGAAGGAAGGAGGAAGTTGAAAGTTTGGAATAAATGGGGAGTTAACAGCCACAGATTATAAATTTTTTTTATAATTCAAAAATAAATATAATCCAAACTAGCCGTCGGCGTTTAATATGCCCAGTAGTATCGAGAACAGGATTTACGGTGGGATTACTAAACTCTTCGTCGTCAGAGTTATTTAAAACTCTGAAAGTTAAACGTGCTCTAAATTAACTTTAAACATTTCTTCACTCACAGAAACATCATCTCACCAAGTTCAGATATAGGCATTGTCTGACGAAATCTTAAAATCAAACTAGTATAATTATTAAGCTGTAAAAGGAAAATTTTATTGTTTGTTGGCTCAAACTATATTAATAGTTTCCCTTTCGCTTCTCAATGAGCTACTTTGAGACAATCAAATTATAACATTTCTGCTTTCGAATTAAAGAAATAAATATTTTTATATATATATTTTTTTTTACAGATGGTATAAGATGGCACTTGGTTCTCATAACTTGATGCTTTTGCACTTACCGACCTACGCCAAAACGTAACTCAACTAAGTGCAGTGAGACACAAAATTAGCAGAAAAGCTTTGAAGGCAGCAAAATTTGTCGAAGAACATCCAACAAAATGGAGTACAACATATCGAATTTATTCTACATCTGCCTACTGGCGAGCTTTATGTCACAATACGCACAAGCTGGGAAAACAGAAGCCAGCGAACCGCCTGCTGGGCAGGAGCATGGCAGCGCTAGCTTGGCTATGGCACGCGCTCGAGCGCTGGCGAACATACAAGAACAACTCTTACCGAATTTGAATCTCTTACAATTGGAGGCAAATGAGTTTCTTAGTCGCGTCAATGGCGCCATCTATAATATGACCTTCAACGAGACTTTCGAAGAGGAGATGATGTGTCACAATGGGCAGAATGCGATTGCCAATCTGGTCACGATGATACTCTATGCACTCGTTTGCATTATTGGGCTCTTCGGCAATACACTCGTTATTTATGTGGTGCTGCGTTTTTCGAAAATGCAAACAGTCACCAATATTTATATACTCAATCTGGCCATAGCCGATGAATGCTTTCTGATTGGCATACCAATACTCTTGTATACAATGCAAATCGGCAGATGGCCATTTGACGATTATGTGTGTAAAGCTTATATGGTGAGCACGTCAATAACACAATTTACATCGTCGATATTCTTGCTGATCATGTCAGCCGATCGTTATATAGCCGTTTGTCATCCGATATCATCGCCACGCTATCGTACGCCGTTCGTATCGAAATTGGTCTCGGGTTTTGCTTGGCTGACGTCGGTGCTACTTATGTTGCCCGTGATACTGTTCGCCAACACGGTGCAGTCGAATGAGGATCACGTGTCGTGCAACATTAAGTGGCCCGAAGCACAAAATACACAATCGGGTACCACATTTATACTGTACACACTGACATTGGGCTTTGCCACACCGCTTACCTTCATCTTGATCTTCTACTTTCTCGTTATACGCAAATTGCATACGGTCGGTCCAAAGCAAAAGTCCAAAGAGAAGAAGCGCTCTCACCGCAAGGTGACCAAACTGGTGCTAACAGTGATTACAGTATACATACTGTGTTGGCTACCCTATTGGATATCACAGTTGGCGCTCATCTATTCGTCGCCAAGCAAATGTGCATCGCGACTCGAGATCACCATCTTCCTACTAGCCGGCTGTCTCGGCTATTCGAACTCGGCCATGAACCCCATTTTATATGCATTTTTGAGCGACAATTTCAAGAAGAGCTTCCTAAAAGCTTGCACTTGTGCAACTCGTAAGGATGTCAATGCCCAGTTACAATTGGAGAATAGTCTCTTTCCAAAGTTCGGCAAAAATCGTCAATCGGATCGTTTATTCTCACCGAAGAAGGCCAAACAGAAGAAGTTGCTGGTAACGCGTAATAATAATGCGACAAATATGCACAACGCGGCTTCAACAACAACCACGACAACGACGAATACAACAACAACTAGCAATAATAGTGCCGCCAATCAAATTGTTACTTACCCGGATCCTCAGACAAGCAATTTGCCGACATTGAAGACGCCGCTTAAGACAGCTAACCAACAAGCCGCTGGGAACGTTGTGCCGGGCACAAATGCAACCGTGCTTTTAGTGCCGGACACATCGTGCGCAGATGTGTTGGAACATCAAGTTGCCGCGAAGCCGATTGATACCGATATGAGTTGTAAAGCGCCAGTGTTGCACACGGACTTATAAGACTTGGCTATGGGTGGACGTACGCCAGTCGAGACCATTGTCTATGTGGCAAAGAGATGAGTATCAGCAAGAGAGTTCCGAAATGAAGAGTTGATATGAGTGCGAGTTATGACAAGGAAATGAGGTTTAGAAAGTTTATAGAGTGAACAAGTAAGTTGTGTAATTAAAAGATCGGCTTCTACCTAGCGGAAGCATGTGGATAGATGAAAATCTTAAAAGCAGAGTGGAAGAACTGGTTGGTATAATTTGAATATAATTGAAGTCACTTAAATATTTAGGGAAAGTATAGAAGGCATTGATATCTCATAAAGCACTAAGTAGAGTAGGAGGAAATGAGATGAGTTTTGTGATAAAACTAGCGCTATTTATGCAATTTCGACTTGAAGATATTGTACTGATTAACTAAAATAAACGAAGTCAAATCATAAGCTTAATTTGAAAAGCGTTTAGAGCAAAAAGAGTATGTTTAGTATTCCAAATATTTAATATTAGGAGCTTTACTCATAAGTATGCTGTAAAAGGTATATGATCAACCATCAATTCATCGATTATTACAGGGCTTAACAAACTATAACCAAAAGCTTTTAATCGTAAAAGCTTTGAAAGCTCTCCGCGTTTGTACAGAAGTTTCAAGGCAGTTAGCAGCAAGTAATTTTACCTCCAATAACAGCATATAACTCAGTTGGATACTAGATAACAGATTTAGATTGTCCGCTATGGTATCCTTTTTATACGATATCAAAGCTTCAAAGCACTTTTTTAAACCAAAATTAAAGTAAATTTCGAAAAAAATGTATGTAAATAGCTGTAACGAAAACCATAAACTATTTTTTTATAAGCTTCCAAAACTTTAATTTTTTGAAAATCTTCCGAAACTCAAATGTTTTGAAAACTTTCAAAACTTTAACTTTTTAAAATACTTTTAAATACCCAAGAACTTTTTTTTTACTTTAGATAGCTTTTAAAATGTGACACAAAAATCTTGAACCATTTCTTAATGACAATAAAAGTCCCCGCAAGTATAATGATCTCAAGCTTTGAGCTTTTAAGTTTACTCGGTCTCTTCAATTTTAATAATAAATCGATTCGTGCAACCTCGTACGGTTCTAATTTTTAAAGCATAACTATAAGATATTTTCAGTATTGAAACTGGTTGACAGGTTTAACAAGTGTTAAAAGCTTGCTTGCAGCTTAGAGAAAACGTTCAATTATCTTTTTCACCACACTCATTCTCTTCACCTTTGCCCAAGTCTTTTGGTTCTGTTGTGATATTTGCACATGGCTTACGAAAAACAGTTTCGCTTTAAAAATAAAAATAAATAAATATTGTAGATGTTAAACTAAAGTTTGTATTAAATTAAGATAATAAAAATCAGCAAAAAAATTTAATATTAATTAAATTTTCAATAGCACTCCACATGTGAACGTTTAAAAAATAAAAAATTTTAAATTTTAAGTGATTAAAGAAAAGCTAAAGTCATAAACCAAATATTAACGTTCTCAATAAAACGTCGATCGAATTTATCTGTAATTGCAGTGTTAGATTCTATAGTGAAATAAATAAATTCTCAAATTTTCACACAATAAGTATTATCGACTAAGCAGGTTCTTAAGTTTAAGTTTGTAATGAAACTAAGGAACTTTATGTGTGTGATATGTTACATTTTAATATTTATATAAAAAAAAAATATAAATTAAAATAAAAATACTTTAAGCTGCTAAATTGAATGACGAACTTGTAATATAGAAACTTAAAAAAAAAAAAAAAATTTATATTCATATGTACATATATATGTTTATATAATGTTCAAACTTCTTTTATTGTAAATTAGTATAACCTTCTAAAATATTATTAAAAATATAAATAAAATAGATTACTTAAGTTTCATATTATATTCAGCTTTTTATATAACAAACTATGTAGCTTTGGAAATATAATTTTGGTTTATATTATATATTTTTAAATTGTGTAATGCCTTGCGAAATTATGAATCAAAAACATTAATTATCAAATTATTTTGTATGAATAAAGGCCTAAAGGCCTTTAAAATGAAAATAAGTATAAAATGTTGAAATATTTTTAATTAAACATGTATTTTAATATTAGCTAGAAATAATGTTTAGAATTTTAATTGTAATATAAAATAATTTAAATGTATTAAAATTAAATCAGTAACTCCAAAAAAATATTTTTATTTTTTATTTTTGGCATTATGAAGGTGAAAAAGTAGTAGTTTTCTATTTCAACCATATCAATGGGTTTTAAGATCACGTAAGTCAGGATTAAATTATTTTAAATTTCAAAAAAGAATAAAGCATAGCATTTTTGTATAAATAGAAGAGTTACTGCTAAACAAATGTGAAGAACTCTGTTCAGCTTCTTAGCTAGTTATTGTATTAGTTTGTCAAAAAATAGCTTCATTGGATTTACCAGTACTCGGAAGCAACTGGCATAACTCTTATATATTGGTCTAATGAAGAGTAAGTACAGTAAGAAACATTTATAGCTCATTACTGTTTTAGCCTATTATTCGAATTAAGGTTTATTAAAATAATAAAATAATTATAGAAAAAAAGTATATTGGAATTTTGAACTGAAGACGCAACATCAGTACATGAAACTAACGCTATGCACTGAAGAGTCTGATGATATATGGTATGCGGTTATGTGTCAGCAATGCTCTTCAACTCATTGCTGTCCCGCATATGTCAATTGTAAGTGCTTACGCCGTTAGTGCTGTCAATCAGTTGTAATTCGATCAATTGTATTTATATCCACTTATCAAATTATATCTAATAAGTTGCCACTTAGAATAAAGGAAAAAGAGAATACACAATTTTTTGGCAAAATTCGTTATTTTTTATTAAATATAGTCTCTTTTTCTTTTCGATACCACTTTTGTAGCACAATTTGGCCTACGCTTCCAAATTGGTCTCCGTTCCTGCGATAACCTCTTCATTGGAGGAAAATTTCGGCAGTTATCTTTTGAGATAGGAAAACAGGAAATGGTCACTGGAAATCAGATCAGCAGAATAAGATGGATGCGGAAGCAACCCAAAATCCAATTCATAGGTTTATAAGATCGTTTTCACTGACTTGTGTCACGGTGCATTGACTTGGTGAAACAGCACTTTTTTAAGGCGGCTGTTGGCGGTTCTTCTCTTTTCAAAGTAAGCAATAAAAATTATTCTATGCGCATCCCAAAATACAGACGCTATAGCCAACCGATTGTTGCGTTTTTCTGCGCTTTGGAGGTGGTTCATCGTGTGCAGTCCATTCAGATGACTTCCGAATGGAGTTCGGACTGAAATGGTGTAGCCATATTTCATCTATTATCACATATCGCTGCAAACAATCGATTTTGTTATGTTTGAACATCTCCAAATACTGCTTCGAATCAACAAATCGGCGTTGTTTTAGATAAACAGTGAGCTAACACTTTGCACAGAGCTTTCTCATACCCAAATATTCGTTGATTTACACATTCAGTTGATGTATTTAGAGTTCTTCTATCTCAAACAACTTCGCTTTACAGTCATCCAAAAGTCCAAACTCACCTTGATGATTAATTTTTCTGAGACAGCGTCCGAAAACTGTTTAACAAGCCCTGTTTGCAACAGTTCTTTTTTCCTTTTGAAAAAACATTATTTTATTAACACCTCAAACTCCTTTTTCTCATTATTTTTTTTTTCACAATAACTAAAGTTGCTTGATTCAAAATGATATAATACACAAACTAATAATCTGACACTTTTGAACTTTATACACCCGTCTGTCTTCTGAAAGTTAAGGAAAACTTAAAATTATATAGATTTAGGCCGGGGACTATGTATGAAAAGATGTAATGGTGAGCTGGAGCTTACAGAATATACATATGTAGTTCCGTTTAATTCTGCGCACAATTAAAATTAAATGAGGTTGTTAATAAATACACTAAATGTGTTGGATAATTCTGATGTATTTCAAATTTGGATCTGGAGCGAAGTGATTACTTCTTTCTGTCTTCTGGCTCAACAGAAGCTTGTGACAATCGACTGTGTCAATGCCAAAATGGCAACCAGTTAACAAACAAAATAATGTCCATTCGACCAAAATCAGACTTTTCAAGTATTATGCTTGAGATGGTTTGTAAAACTCTCTTATAAAAGTACAAGGTCTCTTCTATAATCGCCGTAGAAGAGTTTTATGTTCACTACCTAATTAACTATATATACACTTTGTCTGAGGTAGTAATCCTCAGGAACTATTAAGAATTACTTAAATTTTTCAAACCCACTCTTCGTAGCTTTCAACTCCATTAATTTAACTTCATTTCTGGCAATCTTCGGATCATATGATCGAGCTCTTTCTCCACTGGCACAAGCACTGAAAGTGTAATTTGAAATTAAGACAAAAACAAGAAATTCACCATTCACAAGAAAACCCGCAACTATTAATAGCAGGCAATATGAGTAAGTATATATGGATCTGTTAGCTGTAAGAAAACAATAACCATACCATAAAACACAACCACAGCAACAATGGTCGGGATAACAATGAAGCGCGCCGACGAATTGGGGTCGGGCTGGCAAAATCAGCGCAGAATTGTAAGCCGAGGCGGAAAGCATTGATTTTATTTTCGATATTTTTTGTTTCTTTCAATGTATTAATGGCATGTTTTCACTACTCAAATTCATGCTGACTTGTATTGTTATTATTGTTGTTTGTTTGCTGACAAGCGGTCCACGCTGGCAAATGTCCGTTCATTTAAGTGTGTGGGAGCAAGGCGGCACAAGCTCAGCAAAATTTTTTCGGGAAACAATCAGTGAACCCAAACGCATTATTGTTATATTTACTGCAGATTGAGGCGAGAGTTAGGCATGTAAGTGTACATATTTGTGTGTGTGTGCGGTTCCACATGTGCGTGTAGACAACAGATTTTGGGATTGTTGGCTAAACAATGGCTTGCAATTCGAGACACAATGGGCGGGTCTTGTTGCGGAATATTTGGATCGGAAGTTGCAAAAATTTAATAGATTAAAGTGAAGTTGAAATAAATAATATCTGCCAAAAACCAAAATTCTCGTTTTTCTTCATACTAGTAATATCCTTGATATAAAAAAAAAGTTTTCTGTTTATAATATCTTTAAATACAACCACAAACGAAATAAAGGAAGTAATACTTCAGTATTAAAACAAGCAAAAATGAGGAGTTTTAGTCGACAATCTGTCTCTCATCTTAAAATTCTTGGCTGGGTACAAAAAAAGAAATGTTAAAATTTTCTACGATTAAAGGTTACTTTATCCTAACAGAACTGAGGTATATACGTACAGGACTAACACTGTGATAGTTTATAGCTGAAAATTAAACTATATACTAGAGAACGCTATAACTATTAAAGATCCTCAGCAGAAACATAAAGACTTTATCTGCATACGGAAAGACGATATCTAAGAGCATGCTTCATCTCATGTCATTTGCCGATAAAAATTGCGTTCTGTATAGCCTATCCTTGAAATTTACATCGGCAGCCGAGGTGAGCCACCCCAAGCCCAAAACTTCTTTAAGCGATGAACAACTTGTTTTCTTTGTGTTCTTTCACACTCTCTCTGCTACTATTAATACAAACCCATCTAAAATATCAATTGTCAATGGATTGGAAACATCTTCTACTTTTAAAATAGATGTATTTAAGAAAACGGCTTTTTGTAGAGTGCTGCCATTGAAATTGAGTTTGACATGTAAGGGGAGCGATCATTAAAAAAATAGCTCACTTTCTTTTTTCATCTTTCTTTTTTTACATTAAAAATCAGACTTAATGAATCAAGTG